ACCTCAGAAAGTTTTGAGTCCAGTTTTGATTTTGTTGTACAATCCTATAGTGTTAAAGGGATTGAAAGAAACTTAAAATTATACAGTGTTATCATTTGGATATTATACCTCTGTATTTAGTGGCTATAATGGCTCATTCACAGGGGTGTCAATAAAAGCCAGCAACCAGCAGTAAAGTGTCGTCTAGTACTTTACTTCTGACCGCTGGTTGGATAACATTGTAAAAGTTTTTAACTTTAAAAAGTGTTTTAAGTGAATATTTTAAAATTGCAGCTAGGAAGAGTCGTAATAAAAACTGAACAAAAGTATTTTTTCACTAGCTTAAGTTTTTAACGAGAACGCAGACGTTTTGGTGTCAGAACTCTGACCTTCCTCAGTGCGTTGTAACAAATGGTTTGCACACGTAAGTTAACGGGTTGAAAAAATATTTTGAAATGAGCACGCACGATTTTTACAAGAATTTATGATATTCGGTAAGCTACGGGTATCACAGTTCTAAAATTTCCCGAGTTACAGTCGAGCTCAGAAAACCAAGCTTCTAAAAGAGTCTTTTGTGATAATTTGGTTCCGACTGAACAATTCTGGCATTGTCAAAATCCATAGAGTGACCTGAAGTGTTAGAATGTTCAGCAATTTTTGAGAAAGGAGCATTCTGACAAACTGCCCTGCGGTGTTCTTTTATTCTGGTCTTCAAAGATCTGTCCGTCTGACCATAGTACACAAACTGGCACTCTTTACATCCGATTTTATATACCACCCCAGTATTGAGGGTAGGGTCTTTCCTTCCTTTTGGTTTAGCAGGGATTCTGGAATTATGCGCTGATGCGGACCCGCATAATCGGCCATTCTCCGCATAATCCCGCATAATTTGTCAAAAAATCAATATATATGTTATCTATCTAGCGTCTGGCTTGAGTATTGTTTTTTTCCCTTTGTTATCGCCATACAAACGCGCGACGCCATTTTGTTTTTATGACATTCATTTAGTGATGGGTTTCCTGTGGCTCGGCCCAGGTTCCACAGCCATTGGCGGTTTCCAAGATGGCGGACGTTTACAAGAATTGTTCTCTCTTTTGGCCATATACTTATGTTTAAATGGAAAATATCATCATGTATCTATAATGCTTAATATTCCATTCTTTTATAAATCGAAACAAAATAACTGAGTTTCCTAATCCGAATTAGTCATATTTTAGGTTTTAAGCGATGACGTAATCGCGCATAATTTCGCGCATAATCCCGCATAATTTTGGTTTTTGTCGCGAATAATTCCAGAATCCCTGGTTTAGGGAAGTTGTCACTGATCTTATTGACTGTCTTATGTGCTACCCTGATGTTATGACGTCTAAGTTCTCGACTTATCCTTTCTGACGTACSACGAACATAAGGCAGGAGAACAGACTTGCTACTGGGATCTTTCTGACCTTGGGAATTAGTAGGGACCCTGTGAATCAAGTCCTCGCAACACCGCACAAACAACGAAGGGTAGTTGTTATCTTAGTGTTTTAAGTGTTTTAAGTTTTTAAACTTAAAAGTGTTCATTTCTTTCAAACAAATCTCTCTCAAAGAAGATCATAGAAATAAAAAAAATGGTGCATAACTCCCGGGGGAATACTCGACCCCGTTTTGGATAGGTACTTGCCGCCAGCAGTCTAAAACCCTGACCCTGTTTAAGACACTAGAAAGCGAAAATCCATATCCTGTTCAAGACAAATCAGAAAAATACAAAATCGTTATCTACGCCGCAACCATCAAAACTGCAATTAAACTGACATCCATCAAAGACAATAAGAAGTTTTGATAACACGTTTATCCTGCTACAGTGAAATGGTATTTCTACTATTTCTACGGCATTTCTTATGAAAAAACCCTGTCTACATGTAAGACACAAAAAAAATATATTGGTTTTTATCTAAATTGTAGAGCCTGTTTAAGACAATTTTGGGTGAAATGTATACCCTTTTTAAGACAGCAAGGCCAAAAGCCATACCCTGGCCAGCGGCAAGTCCCAGTATAGCAACCCTTTCAGGGTCATGTCCATACTTAGAGCCATTCCTGGCCATTTTATATCCGAACCACCTATAGAAGAGGTTATGTCGCAACACCCCCTAGAAAAAATAAATCAAAGGTGCCGACACATTATCCCCCTCAGAATTTTAGTTATCTTTGAATCACCCCTCAGCAAATATCAAAAGATCAAAGGCGCGAACACGTTTTACCCCCCAAGAAATTTGATTTGAAGAACCCCCCCCCCCCCAAAAAAAAGTCTTTGACCTGGGGTGCCGTGGATTTATAATGGATGGCCCTTATAGCATATTTATATTTTTTACCCGATATAGAAATGAAAGAAAGTTATAGTGCTTAGAAGGAGGCAATTCCGGGAGAAGTCCCTTAGGGACAAATTCGGAAAAATTAATTTCCGACCTCGCTGGGATTCGAACCCACGACCTTCGGATTTGTACACCGATGCTCTACCAGCTGAGCTACAAGGCCAGACTGGGAGCAGGTCGGGGCGTAATAGATGTTAAGGTTGCGGTAATAGAATAATGTAAGCATCTAAGCACTATAACTTTCTTTCATTTCTATATCGTGTTTATCATAGTGCCATGCGGTCTTCTTATTCATATCTTTACATTATTCTATTACCGCAACCTTAACATCTATTTCGCCCCGACCTGCTCCCAGTCTGGCCTTGTAGCTCAGCTGGTAGAGCATCGGTGTACAAATCCGAAGGTCGTGGGTTCGAATCCCAGCGAGGTCGGAAATTAATTTTTCYGAATTTGTYCCTAAGGGACTTCTCCCGGAATTGCCTCCTTCTAAGCACTATAACTTTCTTTCATTTCTATATCGTGTTTATCATAGTGCCATGCGGTCTTCWTATTCATATCTTTACATTATTCTATTACCGCAAYCTTAACATCTATTTCGCCCCGACCTGCTCCCAGTCTGGCCTTGTAGCTCAGCTGGTAGAGCATCGGTGTACAAATCCGAAGGTCGTGGGTTCGAATCCCAGCGAGGTCGGAAATTAATTTTTCCGAATTTGTYCCTAAGGGACTTCTCCCGGAATTGCCTCCTTCTAAGCACTATAACTTTCTTTCATTTCTATATCGTGTTTATCATAGTGCCATGCGGTCTTCTTATTCATATATTTTTTACCTTCTGTTTGAGATTTTTTTATTTTTGATTTGTTTGCTTGTTTGTTGTTTTTTTTGATTGGCAAGGGACTCAGGCAAGGCGAACTGCATCTAACTTAATATTACAGTACACGTATTGCAAGAATTACACATACCTCAGACTCTTGAAAAATCTTGACATTCTTACTGTTTACCGATCTAAAAATAGACAAGAAAGTTATGTTTCAGTTTCCACGTGCACGCTTTTGCATGCATGAAGATTTTCAAAGCACACCATGGAGACCACGTCACCTTAAATCAGCGGGATGAAGTTCTCCAAAGTCTTTAAGGTGTCTTTTCTGTGCCTTGGATAAGCTTTTGGCGTTGATAGCAGCGAGTTTCTGTACTTTAGAGCTGTGTTTTTTCTTCGGAATTTTCTTCTTTCTTGACTTCCCGTGCTTCGCCATTTTGTATTTTGTAAACAATCCGCTGACCATGAATTTTTGTGTTCAATGATTTCAGTATTATTCTTGATGCAAATGAAATCTTAAGTTACTCTCTAGATTCTGGCTAGGCMTTTCACAAGCAATCTATATCTAACTATATCATTTGATAGTATTTTGAATAAAAAATTAATACCTAGCTGCTGAGGAGAATTGGTCTTCCTGTTTCTTATGCGCAGTAGTCTAGTACGCATGTACGTGTACTTGTGTTTTGACTTCCGTTCAAGRAAAACTTCGTAATGTTTTTGAATTGTTCCTTCAGTATTTATTGATATTTTACATACTATGAGCTTGGGGATTATCCTTGGTAGTGTATTTGCCCTCGTGGTGGCTGGGTACATCGCTCAAAGTCGTCTTCCACCGCCAAAACCTAAAATAGTTGGCATAGATCTTGGYACAACGTAYTCGTGTGTAGGAGTCTACCAAGCGATCACCGGCCATGTTGACATCTTGATGGATGAAAATGGTCGTAAAGTTATCCCAAGTATCGTTGCATTTACTGAAAATGAAGTTATTGTAGGACACAGAGCGTTAKCTCAAGCTGAGATCAACCCAAAATCGACAGTTTATGATGCGAAACGTTTTATTGGTAAAAAATTCACCAAAGAAGAGCTGTTGAAAGTCAATCAACTTTATCAATTTGAAATAACTGTSGATGAGAAAGGCAATCCTTTCTTTGTGATCGGGACACACAACCGTACACGTGTAAGTCCTATGGAAGTAGGAGGATATGTAGTTGGAGAAYTAAAGCGAATAGCTGAAAAAAACTTGACTTCAAAAGTAGATAAGGCTGTCATGTCTGTCCCAGCAGAATTTGACATGAGGCAAAGAAATGCTACCATCAAAGCAGCTAAGCTAGCTGGAATAAAAGTTCTACGGGTCATAAACGAACCAACGGCTGCTGCCTTAGCATATGGGCTTCATAAGAAAGATGGAGTCAAAAATGTGATGGTTGTAGACTTGGGGGGAGGTACTTTAGACGTTTCTCTTCTGAACATTCAAGGGGGGATGTTTGTTACCATGGCAATGGCTGGAAACAATAGACTAGGKGGTCAAGACTTCAATAACAGATTCATGAATTATCTCCTTTCCTTAATAAAAGATAGATTTAACAAGGAATTAACTAATTCAGAAGATATACAAAGATTACRTCAAGAGGTTGAAGTTGCTAAAATTAACCTAACCAGCTCAATGGAAGCCATAATACATGTGAAACTACCCTCTTTAAATCAAGGGAAAAGGATATCAGTATTTGAGGAGCTAGTATCSCGTCATACATTTGAAAAAATCAACGAAGATCTATTTCTGAAAGTTCTCCAGCCCATCAAAAGAGTATTACATGAAGTCAATTATCCTAAGAGTGTAGTTGATGAGGTTGTTCTTGTTGGAGGATCCACAAGAATACCAAAAATCAGACAATTAATTCAAGAGTTCTTTGATGGTAAGCCACCRAATGTTTCTATTGATCCGGAACTGGCTGTAGCATCAGGTGTAGCTATTCAAGCAGGAATCATTGGAGGAATGTGGCCATTGCAAGTTTCTGCAATTGAAATCTTTAACCAYGTCAAAAAGGTCCATGTAGATGATGAGTAGAATAAAGACCTGTTWACACTGGCAATTTTTATTACGATTTTTGAAGCAATTTTTGTGCTTWCTTTGACCCCTATRAATAATTTWAAAGTTTTRTTCAGTACWCAGATTGAGATGAGGTAACTATTGTTTCTACGAAAGGATAAGAACTTGAATMRAAAAATTGCCAGTGTGAACCAGCTTTAAGGAGCAGAACGATGATGTTTACCAGTGACCCCATCACCTCAAGAAAAGAAGCAAGTCATTCTGATACTGCTGTAGTCTCCTTTGCATCCRTTTTGGTGTTGGGCTCAGGAAGCTTGACACGAAAATGGATWTGAAGGAGACTAATACTGCTGTGGTCCTGTCATATAGCAAACCACATTATATTTGCTAGTAAATAGCTGATTTGATTTCATGGTTGCATTCTTCCCATGTTAAGTCATACAAACAAATTAATAATCATAATAGTTTATAAAGTTTATTTATGCAGTGCAAACATATTTTATAGCATCTATATAGCAGGGATACAACTGTTTTAGATGCTCAAATGAAAATTATGAAATAAAGATCAAACATAACAATGAATATTTAATGTTGTGACTATTTTAAAAGTTCTCTTGGATTGGTCAAGAACTGCGAGTTATTATTATTAAAGTACGTACACTCATGAAGTAAAAACACTACAGGATAAACGGCCATAAACTGTAATTTTAGCTTTGTTGAATTCATTTTAGCCTCAGAATTCACAAAGTATCAAAATATTCAAGATAGTTATTATAAATGATAATGATATTGATAATATAAATGGTTGATTCAATTTGGGCACAGCAAACCCTTAACAAAACCAGCTTTAGGACCTTTAGAAAAGACTCACTGAATGAAGAATCTAAAATATTAAAGCTTAGTTAAGATATCTTTCACAAACGTAGTTTAGTGACGTTGATAGATTGAGTTTCTTTCCGGATGTGAYRATAATAAACCTTTTTTCGTCTCTCTATGTTGGGTTTCCTGTGTTCAAACTGACTTTGTCAAGTTATCACGTGATCAGATTCGAATGGAACCATTCCCCACGCACGCTTTCCGGKGAAAACAACGCCTCAAAACTTTAACTTCTTTTTGAGACGGAAAGAAGAAAGCTTCTTAGCAATCAAAATGTCAACCGTGCAAGCTCAAATATCCATCCAACGAGCCCTGAATGAACAGCTTAGATGCGAACTCAAACATGATCGAATGAAAGTATCGCAAACGTCCAACGAACTGGTGAAATACTGCGAACAGAAGGTACATGACGACCCGCTTGTAACTGGTGTGCCAGCTTCAGATAACCCTTACAGGGAAAAGAATATGTGTTTGATTCTTTGAAGCTAAAGACATTGGTAAAAGAAACTTAATATAAACTATGGAAATTTGCTTATTGGAAACCTCGTGGCATGAAGTGAAGTAGTGAAGTTTGTTCGTCGATAAGTTTTCTTCGAGTCGACATGTATGGCACTTTGGAGTCATCTTTCACAGGCTTCTTACTTATCTTCACAAGAAACTCTTGAAAAAACTCATTTATGTTTGTGATTTTGATTTATTTTATGCTCTTAATATTCATTGCCCTAAGATTTTAGATTTATACCATGACTTCAGACRGATGGAGTGGATTTAAGATCAAGATTTCAGTCCAATATCATGGAAAATATCAAACAACAACCAAGATGCTGACTGCGTGTGAACTTCCGATCCTTCCTCACATTTGATAGTGTTAACATTTATCGTCAGATTCCACAACATAAAAATCTTTATTGCTGTAAAAATTTAAGCAAATTGAAAGGCATTTTAGCTGTGTGCATGTACTGAAATATCGTATAACTAAGAGAAATCTATCAAGCTTTGTGTGTATGCCATCGAAGTCATGTTTATACTGTACACAGAAAACCTTTGTTCTATTGTAAATGTCAGGTAAAACGCATAATCGACAAATAAACTATTAGTTTTTATGTTTTGGGATGTATTTCCACTGAACTAATGCTTGTATTTACCGAATTTTTCTGTAGCTCAAACATTACATGTATTGGAATGTGTTTWGGCAGCTCATTAAGGATTTATATGGAGCAGTTAACATTCCTGTACATAACATTCAGATTTTTCGGTCTGCATTTTATAAAAGTCTCAATGTAATGCACTCTCTTGGTTCAAAGTCCATGCTTTGATAAGGTAGTATTTTATTATTGTTTTTTAAAACAATAATTTAAAAACAGGCATTGACTAGCATGTCAATGTGGACATTGAGCAATCCAAAATCTTACAATATGTTTTGATGGGTAAGGATTTTTTTGTTAGAACGGGCATGCCTGCAAGTTTAAAGAGGGTGCATCTCACTTTGTTTTGAAATTTTAAGACTGTTTTTTTACTAGTCTTTTTTGGATTCACAGAGAAAGGTGTTTGAAAATGTGTCCACCATGTTGATTTGGCAAAAAATCTTGTATTTCAAATACTCCATCTGTAAGAAGAACCCGAACCCCAGTAACCACTTCCCCTGCGCACTAGAACACACAATGCAGCATTATCAATATATTTGTGCTCATAGTACTAAAACACGCATGCATTCTCATATGGCCTTGGCTTTTTACCAACCAAATAACTTGACATGTTATCATGATTTGTCAGATTTTGTATTGTTATCATTATTATTATGAAACTAGAATGAAACTGAATCCTTGGGAGAAAAAAATGCCCTGTTATCATCTGAAAATGTGAAGTCATGGGCCTCCTGTGTCTAATTTGCATAAAGGCGGTCTCGTACAGAAGTAAAATGGCGTCGAGTGCTTGAGTTTCTAACCTTTTTGTGAGATCTTTTGGAATATTCGTTTGATACCAAGTATTGTATGAAGGGAATAAGTGGGGAAAATATCACAGTATTCTATTTATGTAAGTATTTACTCGTGCTTTATGCMCGCTGGTGATATTTTCGGYGATTTGTAATTGGCGCCATTTCTCTCGAAAATCAGTTTACCATATTTTACCTTTCAACWTGCCGGAAACTAGCTGTAGTTACGTATCGATTCACAGATGTCGTTTTTCGCCTGCCTTGCCAGTTTTTTGTTGTTGTTAATTGCTAATTTAGTTCTTCATATGTGGACAGTATTTTCGTGTCATGCTTGAGCATTAAGCTACATGTAAGCTTATCACGAAATTTTACTCCCACGTTGAGTTATTGAATAAGGATAACTTGACGCGACTCAAGTTGTTTCTGATTTATTGTCTTGTTTTTTTTYYTTTWAAA